ATCTTAACAGGTTTACAGTTCTCATTATATTCGAGTCCACAGCATCAAAATATGTTCATGACATGGTCAGAAAACTGGGTGGCTCCATTCCTGAACTACTGTCACACACAAGACACATGATGTCTTTCAGCATTTGCGTAGTGTAAAGCTGAGCGGTTTCAAATAAAGCTCTTAAAGACATAGACATATTACTGTAGTCTAAACTTCAAATATATCTCATGATATTAAAGGGCCAATGTCCTACATTTGTCTTGTCTCTCTCCCAAGTTCCACCCCCCCCCAAGGGGTCCACTTATGATGTTTGTGGCATTGAAAAACGTGACATTTTCCAGCCTCTCTTTATTGCTTATAATTACAGTATGATTTTGTTCCTATGTCTTCTTTAGGACCAAGATACTTAAATGAGCTCTGTTCTGATTGGCTTTTATTCTATTATGCTATGTATATACTATGTATGCTATATGTCCAGGCTGAGGACATATTTAAATATTTTGAGTTTCTTGACAACATTTAATTTAATACTAGCTGTTTCTGCAGTTCAGTTTCCTTTAATGGGCTGGCAGGTGAAAGGTATGTTTTTAAACTGTAACAGTGTTTACAAATAAACTATAATATTTTTGTATTTTTGTGATATGAAAATACAATTGCAGTGGCTGAGAATGTACAGCTCAGTGTAATTTGTTTGGTCTATATATTTCACCACTGTGTAAATAGATCCTCTAGCCACATTTGTATATTCAGTGGTTTAAAAAAAATAAACTTATATATATCACCTCCTATGTGTTGTGTCTGTGTTTGTCAGTATCATTAGTGTGTGTGTACTGTCTCTTCTCTTCACTGGTGTTGGCTGTTACACACAGACGGACTCTCTGGCGCTCTCTCTCTGTCTTGTCTCCAGCTCATTCATCTCCCTTTAAACTGATGGGCTCGTCCTCCTCTTATTTCATCTCAACTCTAAACAGAGGGGCTGATGGTTGTGGGGCACACAGCCGTGTGTGTGTGTGTGTGGCTCCATTCTCACTGTGGCTGGTGGAGGGAATTAAATGTCACTCATAGAGATTGATGTGTAGTGTGATAGTAGCTACAGAAAGAGCCATGGAGATGTCTGCAGGCTACAGAGATGGAGGAACATCTCTCATTGTATTGGAATTCAGGATGCACACTGATGCTCATCCATACACACCACACAGAAATGCAAACTCTAGATCCAGTCTTGGAATTCAGATATACATGAATATACGTATATAGGCCTACCGTACATATCTTCCTTACTGGGGGTGCTCAGGGTACTGTTTGTTAATCTGTATTAGTGGCCTTTGCAATACTGATATTGCAGAAGGATGCAATATGCAAATAAGCATGAAACAATTCCAATATTCAATTGTGTGCTGTGAGCTTCTCGTCAAGTCTTTAACCAGGTCGCATCTAGAGTTCACCAGTGTGTTTAATTTATTGCAGGGTATAATCACAATATCTAGCTACAGAAGTCAGAGACCACACTTTTTTTTTAATTTACACTCAAAATGGCCATTAAGAGAATGTCATAAAACAGCAGTTATTATTAAAAATATGTATTTATAAATAGATATAGAGAAACTTGGACTCCCAGCAACCGTGCAAGACCTGGTAGACCACTAAAACTGTCACCATTAAACAGTACTTAAAACTTTTATCATTGAGAGACGAGCTCCACTTTTGCTTCAGATCTGCCAGAAAAATCCACCAGTGTTTGTCCATCCTTCCACTGTGAGAAGACAACACAACACTGTGAGTAGCTGTCAAGAAGCTGTTACTGAGAACAGAAAATAGGCAAAAAAGAAGAAAATTTAAAAATCAAACAAACAAGCTGTTTTTTTTTGTTTTTTTTAAGAACAATAGACTGACCAGAGTCAGTCCTGATCTCAGCATCTCTGAATGTATTTATTGCTTAGATTGTGAACAAAAATGCAACCAACTTCTGAGACTGAACTTTGGAAATGTGCAGAAATAGCCCTGCAGATTATTATTTTGTTTCAGATGTTTTCTCCACTGATGTCTGCAAATGATAACTTGTACTTAATGCCTTCTTGACGGGAAATTAAATGTTGAGGTGGTCTGACTTGCACAGTACTGTACATAACTGTTTTACAGGCAGCACAAAATGTGCAAAATATATTGCAGCCTTCTGCAATATCAGTATCACAAACGCCAATATCGTGATAATAACTGACCAACTGTGCATCTTGCAGCCCTAATAGGGAAGATATGTACTGTAGAGAAGTTAACTGCTTCTGTGCAGTGTCTATAACATGTTAGTTACGTTATGCGTTATTACTTTGTGTGCAGATATTACAAACTCTACAAGCCCTCCTTATGCCTAATCACACACAACAACAGGGAGGAATTCTGTATGTGTTTCCATTCCTGTGGAGTCCATTTCAGTCGAGCTAACCCACACAGCTCCCACTGATCCAGACTCCTATGCTTGTATATTGATCTGATTATGCAGCATGTGAGTAGCTTACCAATGCTGCAGCCTGATATGATGGCAGTGGACCTATGCTTTTCCTCACAGGCAGTGTCAGCGTTCATCAGGGGGTCTACCTTGAAGACCCCACTGGGGCTGTGTGCCCTGGCATGTAGCTGTAATTAAAAGGTTGCTGTTCTGTTGCTCTTTTCGTCCGTTCACAGCTCTGTGCTTAAGTTCTGGCCTCATGCCACTCTTTATAACATTCGGCCATGAGCTTTATACAGCAGCTGTTGAAGCCAGTGGAGAGTGTGTGTGGGTGTGTAGCCATGTGTGTATGTCTTTGTGGAGGTCAAATGTCCCTAGGATGATGGAAAACATGAAAGTTTACTTTATGTATTTATTTATTTATTTAGTATATTTTACTCAGTATCTCCCCGAATTTAGTTGTGACCGTTTATCACATACTAGCAAGGTCTTGTTCTTTTAGATGATGTTAGCAACTAGGGGGATGAAGGCTAGCATGTGCTTCCTCCAGGACACGCAGAACGCTGCTGCATCTTTTCAGGCTTCCGAAAATACAGCTTGAATTGGCCAGTTGAACATGTTTAGGGGTGAAATCCAACAAGAGCTAGGCGATAAAGCAAATAGGTTTTCATGATATGTCACTATGTATTTTTATCTACATTGATGAGTTGGAACAGACAATTGCATGATTTGTATTCAACCTTTCACATACTGCACTGCCCAAAATACAGTTAAACAGGACAAATTATGCCATCTCTGTAAACAAATATGCAGTATGGAAATGTGTTTTGACCTATATACTCAGAAAAAATGTGTTGTGATAAATACTGTCAATCCTGCCCCACCCTAGTGCTCACTGCTAATTTTGTAATGTCTATTAACAGACACTTGTGTTGGCTAGCATTGCGCTGAGTGACTAGGGAAAGGGAGGACAATCGTGCAGACTTGGACTCAACAGCCACCGATGTGGCATTGCCGGGGATCAAACTCATGATCTCCCAAAGAGACGGCCAATAATTGCACCATGTCTTCAACAAGCTTTATAGTAGCAGTTATTTGGCTTGTCATAGGCTACTTTGAACATTTCCATTAAGGTTTGTGTTCCATTTTTTTATGTTCTTGATTGCTGTGTCACTGCAGCTGTCTGTCTTTTTAAATTATCTTTAGAGGTATATGACAGACAAACTAACAGCACATTTAGAAGGACTTTAACTTTGAAGTAGTTAAATTAGTTATAAAGGCACCTTCACGAAGCTAGCTAATTCACATTAGGACTAATTATATTCAGCAGTATGCTTTAGTTATTATCGAAGGCTTTCAGTCGGTGCTTTGATATGTGGGTTTTCCAAGAGATTAGAGGAGGTCAAATAGTGCCTGAATTGTAGGTGCATCAGACTTGAAAAACTAGTAAATTTAATCTGCCAAGGACAGCGGTCTTGAAAATCATGACAGCATATGCCAAGCATGGACAAATTGCCTGGGCAAAGAGGAACAGTGGCTTAAATCTCACCGACAGGGAGAGATCAGCACTTAACAAGATAACTGCTAAGCACCACAAACCATACGGCCTCAAAAACTCACTGCAGAATTTAATCAGCACCTCTGTGACCCAGTTTGAACAATAACTGAATGCTGTGGAAATATATGGCAAGGCTGATGTTTAGATACTGCTTGCATTCAGTGCACAAAGAAATATAAACTGCTGTAAGGAGCACTAAACTTTAACCCCTGAGCAACTGAAAAATATAGTATGATTATTCTTTTTTTCCTGTTTTTTGTTTTTTTTTCCTGGACCTGTTTATTGTAGAAGAAATGCAACCTTCAATCCATCATGTCTGTTGCTAAATGTTAGATGTAGTGTTGGTATGGCACCATCTCACTGAAGTAGGTAGGTTTGCCATACACAATAGTAGAAATAATGGCTATTTGGCATAACCGGGTTAGTCATTTGTTGCCATTTCAAGATGACATTGCTAAACGGAATTCAAGGGTGCTTTGCCATGACCCACTCGAAGAGATCTAAACATCATTGAAGCTTTGAGGAATTACTTGAGTTCAGAGTGCAGAATAGATTCCCACCTCCATCATTCCTCAAAGATTTGTGGGCTTTTGTCTTGAGGAATGATCTAATATTGACTGTACAGAGTTCAGGGCTTGCATGGCAGCATTCCAAGAAAAACTGAAGGCGTTGAAGACTATGGGTAGTGCTACCTGCTGTTAGGTACTTGATATAAATGTATTGCCAGGTGTTTATTTTGTCCAGCCCTGCAAATGCCTTTTTCTGGGCCCAAAGAGGTTGAGATCTTGAGGCATTCATGAATAGAAGCCTGTCATCGCTGCATTGCTAAGGCATGTCAGTCACCTATATAGACTTTCCAAACCTAACATTACAATCAGTACAGATTGCCTATTCCATGTGCTGAATGCCAGCTGTGTATGCTTGATTTGATTTTAATCTCTCTTTCTCTCCCTCTTTTTCTGTCTTTCTCTCACTCCATGCTGACATTACCATGCATGTCGGAATCAGTTGAATAAGGTTAGTATTCTTCTACACTTCTTCTTTGTTTTGTTTCTGTTTGCTTTGGTTTCATGGTCTTGCTCTGCTGCTGCTCCTCTTCTCCTTCAGCAATCTGCTATTGTGAATTCCTTTTAACGCAGATATGGGTTGGTTGTGTTTCAAGGAGTCTCCCTTGTTAGAGCTTTTTTGTTGTTCTCCATGGGTTTATTGTCAGATTCTGTTTCGCTTTTGTTTGAAAATCTGAGACATCTTAAATTTGAAAAACATAAATGAGCTTCATTGACAAGTCAGGGTCACGCTTTGAGGCGTGCACCACTGACAGCTGCCTTCAGGGCTGCACTGGAAACAGGTGTATAGAAAGTGACGCCACAGCTTATGTTTGTGCTTCACAGCAGTGATTAAAGACTAGAGGTAACAAAGGCTCGTCACATACTTGACTGATATGTCCACTACATCCAGGGGCACTGACTACCTTAGTAGTACAATACGATGCTGGCAGAAGCATGTAGTTAGCATGCAAGAGGAGGGTCCAGAAGAATAATTTTGTGCTAAAAACAAAGGCAGATGTTGTGCGTTAGCCTGGAAATACTTTGTAACAGATTAAATCATCTCTTACGAGTTGTGTAAGATGCTGAAATACAACAAAAACACTATGCGTGACCACCCTCAAAATGAAGCATCACAACTGGCTACTAGTAGAAATGCTAATAAAGCTTTTTGTAACTTTTTTATTAATGTACCGAATAGTCAACTAGTAGTCAAAATAGTGAATCAGCAAAAATAAATAGCCATACCTTTATCCCACACCCAATCCCAGGTTACTTTACATGGTACCACTTTAGACTACCCTTATAAAGCATTTATGAATGGTTTAAAATTAGTTTATTAATGGTTATTAATTAGGCCATAAACACCTTTAAAAGCATAAATATAAAGTTATAACATACAAATAAAAAGGACAACAGTGATCTGTTGTTTGCCTAATAGTAAACCCACATTCATTTATATACATGCTTAAAGATTGTTCTTCAAGGGTTCTTTAGTAAAGAAAATGGTTCTGTATAGAAGTATGAATACTCAAAGTACTCTTTGCATGATTGAAGGGTTCTTTGCATCATGGGGTTCTTCAAATTAATGGAGAATGTCCTGTAGATGGTTCTATATAAAACCTATTTGAAAAAAACTTTTTTCTATATAGCCCCAAAACGGGTTCCTCTGTTGTTACGATGTCAGGCTTGCTATAATAGAAGAACCCTTTTTGGTGCTATATAGAACTTTTTTCAAAAAGGTTCTATTCTCCATCAATTTGAAGAACCATTTCACAATGCAAAGAACCCTTTAATCATGCAAAGGGTACTTTGAGTGTTCATGGTTCTATATAGAACCACTTTCTTTACTAAAGAACCCTTAAAGAAACATTTTTTTTTAAAATATTATGTTTATTACATTTTTCTCAACAAACAAGCATACACCATACACACACAACCAAAAAAAAACAAAGAAAAAAAAAAACAACCCCCAGCTTACATAGACAAATATTTATGCTGACCAACATATCAAAATGGCACAGTAAACTATACAAGTGCTCTCACCAGAATACTTGAGAGATCTGACCCAATATACAGCAGAAAAGGCTCCCAAATATTGTAGAAGACATTTGTTTTTGAACGTAACAGGTGTGTCAAGTAATCTAGAGATACATTTTCCAAAACAACTCTGTGCCAGCTTGCTATAGAGGGTATTTTATCTGTTATCCATTGTAATAAAATTTCCTTGCACAGAGTGTTAAAACATTGCAGAGTTTTTTCTTAAACTTGTCAGAAATATAATTATTTGGCAACCCAAGCAATAAACACAATGGGTCCATCCTTATATCAGTTCTGAAGTAAAGAACAATTTTTAAGTGTGTAGTTAAACCGCAATTCTTGCTGGTTGCTTTTCTTTCTTTCTTCATCAGTCAGCATTAAAATGCAGCTTCATCAGATATAACAGCTCACATTTTCCCTCTTTTAATAATGTTTGTTATAACTGTTTACTAATAATTTAAGGTGTTTATGACCTATTTAATAACCATTAATAAACTCATTTTAAACTATTCCTAAATCGCTTATAAGAGTAGTCTTATTTTAAAGTGATACCCTGTACATTGATGGCAGCAGAAGTGGCTATAAGCTCTAACCTCCAGGCAGACGTAGTTTTAGGGCTCTGAAGCAGACGTATTGGGGTTTGTGTGGTGGCAGGGCTTTAGCTCCTTAGCTCTGCTCATCGTACTTAGCCAGTATTTGGTTGTTCCCCCGGCTTCTGTGCTGAGCTATAGGTGGATGCTGCTCTGAACTGTGTGGCGAATCCCAAACAGTGTGCTAACTACCCCGCTGGGACTGAAGCGGATGAAGTCCGCGTTTCCTTTCTGCAGATTGAATATTCATCCTCATATTTCATTGCTCAATATCCAGCAGAACTCAATAAAGCAGTCTGTCGGAAGCTTAGTGGAGGCAAAGGATATAGCCATGCTATATGAAGGGTATTTAATGAGTGTGTGTGCAGTAAAATTAGTAGCGTCGAGTTAAATTGAACCTGCCTGAACTTCATAGAAATAAATTTACTTCTACATGTAGTGTAATCAGTGTGTTTCCTATGTACACAATGTAAAATGGGTGTTTGTAGTCTTCCACTTGGTTGTTGCTTTTGTTACATTGCTGCTTGTTGATTTATCCATAGGTCTGCCATAGGCACTGTCCATGTGCTGAAGGTATTTCATTAAAAACCATTTAAAATTGGTATTTGAACTAGAGAGCCACAGTTGTGAATTCTGTCATAGCAGCATATCGCTCACAAGCAGTTCGGCTTTAGCTGGCACTACTACAGATGGTTTGAAAGGTCAAGCAAGGAAAAAATTACTGATGTTAATAATCTATCATGTTTGTTAGAGACCACCCTTTTATTTATTTAATTTCTAGTCAAAACAGCCATTGACTGAGTTATTTTTTTCTTAGTATATAGAAAAAGCAGAAAACATATATTTAACAGAAAACTACACAGAAACCAGAACAATTAAATATATGATATCAGATCGTTCAGTATTTAGTGTGTCTTCCCTTTGCCATTATTGCAGCTTTCATTCTTTTCAGGAGACCTGCTTTCAGTTTCTAGAAAAATCTGCAGGGATATTTTTCCATACCTCTTGTGCCTCATTTGAGCTGGATTAGGTTTACCAGGGGAGTTCCAATAATGTAATTTGTGCATGCTTCGACTGGCCGATTCGTATGGGATAAAGGATCTTTGCATTTTCCCTAAATAGCCCAGATTGAAACATCATCACATGGATATTTACTTCAGCAATTTACGACAGGCACCACGCTTCCAAACAATAACCACTCAGTGTGCAAAAAAGGCAACACTAGACTAAGCAGGAGACTTTACAGCAAATGTTGTGGATTTACCTGGTTTTATTACATTGCTGTGTTGTTGATTTGAACAGGATTTCTGTTACTGAAGGAGCTCAGAGTGTGGTGAATTATAGAAGGTAATTCACTCTGGAATTATTATTTAGCAGACTTGTAAAAACTAAGGACATGGCAGAATCGTACTGGATTAAAATAAATAATCTTCATAAAACTTGCTCCACATCTCCAATGTCCAGATTTTGCATTCTGGTGCAAATTTCCTTTTCTTAGTAAGAGCTTGTAGCTTGTCAGCTGCACATCCTTTCAGACCTGTAGTGTTGAACTGTCTTCTCACAGTGGAAGGATAAACAGAAACACCTGTGGATTTTTCTGGCAGATCTGAAGCAAAAGTGGAGCTTGAATTTCTCCTGCCACTCAAAGATGAATGCTTTCAGTACTGTTAATCTGATGGTGACAGTTTTGGTGGTCTACCAGGTCTTGCACAGTAGTTAGGAGTCCTAATTTCTGTATCTTTTTAATTATTTCTTGAACTCAGTGTATCTTTCATTGTTTTTGTAATGCTTCTAGTAGTAGATTGAGAATGTTTTGTATTATCAGCATTATTTAGTGTTTAAATTTTCATGAGGTTGTGCTCTTTATATCAGGTTTGTTTACTCATTCTTTTTATTGCCATCTCCATTTATATATGCGTGTGTGTGAGAGATAAAGCCAGAGAAAGCAGAACATGAACTTTTGGTCGCCTCAATTTAACTCTGTCACAGTGTCGTAGGTGCTAAGCCAGTTTAATTGTGTGCTTGTTTATTTTCTTTCATCACATCCGTGTGTGTGTGTGTGTGTGTGTGTGTGTGTGTGTTTCTTTTTTTTTTATCAATCTCTGAGCTCATTAAATGGTTCTCTCTGTAGACCCTTCTCCCCATTCCTACTATCGGTACATGGGTTGAGTAATTATCTCTGACATTGATACGCCACACACACATATACACACACACAGAGGAGTTGAATAATTATTTTTGACACTGATGTGCGTTGCGTGGATACCTCCCCACGACACACTCGCACACTTTTCCTCCAGCCCTTTAATCAAGCTGCTTTTTTCTGAAGTCATCTGATCTTGCTATAAAGGCTTCCCCATTCTCTCCCATCACTACAACACTGGAGCAATTAGACCAAGACAGCTTGTTTGGATTTTTGTTTATTGCCGTTGCTGCTGATGCCTGCATCACGCACCATGTACATATCCAAATGTTTGTAAATGCCTTCTCATCCAAAGTTTCTTCTGAAATCAATGGTATTAGATTAGATCAGATGTGATCTCATAATGAACATTCACATCTGTGGACATCTTGTTAAACTTTTCGTGCTGGATTGCGGTGAAAGTCGCCCCAGTCTCTTCTATTCTGTGCTCTTTTAACATTCAGAATGCAATCGATAACACAAGTAAAACAAACCAGCTACCAAAATGGTATCACTAGCTAAGGAATGGTTTCTTCTCTTGCAAGAAGTAATGTTTATTTTTACTGCATGTAATGTGTTCTCTGCACATGCGACACACCAATTACATGCTCATTTGGAAGTTTGGTGTCACTTTTCAGCAGTGCTAACTTATGTGGCATC